GGGCGCGAACGACACGTAGAACGGTTTGCCATCGGGGCCCTTGGCTAGGACGGACTGACTCAAAAGCTCTCTTATGAGAGTCTTGAAAGTAGCATATACATTGTTGTTGTTCTTCTCTTGCTTTAAGCATGTCACTAACAAAGTCATTGAAACCCGTTCTCGTCTTTGGTACCCACGTGCTTCATCATCTTGGGATTCAGACCTCTCTTGAAACTAGCGATCGAGTGTTTTTTGGCATCGGTATTCATTCACCATGTCGAGGCATAGCGACTTAGATTGTTGAATGCATGTAGAAATGTGTATATTACGCATCGATCTTGGTACCTTGGGTTAGTGCGAGAAACTCTCCAAACTTCATTTCACATCACAACCTAGGGGAATGTATGTTCCATGAAAAGCCTCCGTGAATTCCCTCCAAGTAATGTGGGCATTAGGTGGAAAAGTGGTGCGGTGATGCTTCCACCACATTCCTGCAGGGCCTTGCACGGTGATGACCAATCGCATACTCGATTTTCAATACTTCATCATCCCGAGAACACAAAACTTATCTTCCATGGTGTTTGTCCACTCTTTCGCATCCAATGGCTCTGCGGCTTCTTTGAAAATTGGTGGTCCGGTGTCCATAAAGTCCTTGAAACTACTATCTTGATTCGCTTTATGTCCACCCTAGGAAAGGGTTTAACCACGGCACGGTGTTGTCGACAATATGGCGCAATGTAGCTTCCATGCAACTCAAACTTTGCATGCCCTCCATGTTGCGTTGACTTCCAAGGAACTGTCATCCCAAGAGAACCAGCTGCTCCGCGGTGTACATCATGGAGGAGGAGGAGGTGGTGGTGGCAAGAAGGTTCACGGTTCTCATTCCGGTTCCAGCGTGGACCGCCACCGCCCGGGCCATCAAAGATCATACACTGCAGACGCGGAGGAACAAGTGTTCGGCATCTCAGATATTTCACCAACAATAAGAATTATTAGGCGATGTTGTAGAGATCGCAAGTGAATGAAAAAATTATGCCGCATGAATTCACAGAGAGAATAAATTCATACAATAAAATAGGGCACAATAAGTCATTCCAAATAACACAACATCACTAATTATATTACTTAAGTGCACACATCGCGTCCATTACAACCAAATTGCCAAAGAGTTCAGTAATTATTACCCGTTTTAAAACACGCATGAAAACCCGCTTTGTTTTTGAATCTTCGCGGTTAATTGAGCAATTACATAAACCGGACTTTTATGTTTCAGATATCGCATTACTAGCTAAGTTCCAATCACATGCCAAGTCTCATAAGTTCAAGCAAGATACATTAGGTTACATGCCGATAAAAAGAAAAGTCATCGACGGTTGACAGACCTAAACACTAGCGCAAAGCAAGCAATAGCCTAGCTACTACTCGGGGATTCGTCGGGGTCGGAGACGTAGTCACCATCATCAGATGAGTGTGAAACTATAGGCTCGTCGCTCTCATCGTAGATGTCCATGCAACAATGGGAACAACGGCGTCTAGAGGAGCATATGGGCCAACCCCATTGTAGATGCGCGTGAAACTGCACTCCTCGTCTAGGTAAGAGTTAACATTGTATCCTCCTCTAGCTCATCGACATCTCCTGCATAATAATTACTACAACAGGTCCCTCACGTTTCGAAGGCTTCATTCCTTTCGCCGAACCAATTGTCCAATCATGTGGTCTCGCATTATTGTTGGCTCGAGTCAACGATGCACCCACTTCGCGTGATAGCTCTATCACCTCTCTCTACATACGCACTCCCTGTAACCGTATGCCCAAATAGTGCCACTAGCTTCACGGTTTAAAGGTACTTTTATTCGCCACTAAATTTGGTCCCAACGCTTAATGTAAGCTCATATCACCAATTTTCCATCCGCAGGATATCCTCCATAGCAAACTAGCTATATAGCACGTATGCTTTGCTTCTAAGCAACGCTTTCTTGCCTTGAGCTTATCATCACCATGCAAGCTAGTCAAAGTCCATATATAGGTACACTCAAGATCCCCGATACGCCTCGATACTTCTTGTGGGCAAACATAGCACTCATAGCATGGTTTGTGCATCTAGAGCTATGCCTATGATCATGATGCCTGAAATGTAGGACCCTCGACCAAAGCTCTTCTACAAGGTAGTCAACATCATCCAAGAACATTTATTACTATCTACTACGACAACCACTGTACTAACATGCCAAATCACCACAACAAACTAAGATGCTACAAAGATACACCAAAGAGAACATTATTAACTAAACTCGCATTAAAAAAGATCATTTGATTTCATTTTAAACTAGGGCTACACAGCAACATATATTTCTGGTGTTCATAAAAATCTGAGAAAATTACGGTAGCCTAGTACTACTCTAAGTAGACTACCATAAAATTTTCATGGCATTTGGATAAGTAGAATAGACTACACAAAAATGACAAGGCATAATTACTTAAAAAGCCATAAATAGAAAACCTTAGTTAAAAGTGCCAAGCAACAGATTTCATATTTTTCCTAATATCCTTAAGGTACTGGGATACTCTCCACAAAATTTCATGGTCATAGGATTCCTAGATAATTTACAAAAATTTACACAAGTATCAATCAATGATAAAAGGAAAATCTATAACTCAAAAACCACATATGCAATGACTCTCAAATTTTTACCAGAGCTTCTACTAAGCAAGAATAGCTTACCCACAAAATTTCATAATTTTTGGACCACAGAAACTCTAGATATAAAATAAACAAGTTTGCATTCATTCAAAAACACATTTCAAATTTTCATTTAAATCTTCTAAAATTTCTACTGTAAGTATCAAGACTATATTTTTCCTAAATACTAGACTTCCTAAGGAACACTACCAAATTTATTTCTCAATTTTTAAAGCTACAAAACTGGAGATACAATTATTACAAATCAGCATAGAAATCTGTTAATTTGAACTAGCCTATCACTAAATCATCATCGACGCATGGGGCCCGCTTGTCGTCACCCGGACCACCTTCATCATTGACACGAGCAGGGGAGCGACGCGCGACGGGTGTGGCGATGGTCGAGCTTCGCCGACGGTGGCTCCTCGGCGTGAAATCGACAAACACCTACACGATCTACGTGACGAGCAGCGTCGAATGGTGCTACCGGCGAGACCTAAGACCTAGCGGAGGTGACACGTCGACGGTGATGGCGGCCCGACCGAGCTCCGGCGCGAGATGCCGGCGACGGCAAGCCATGGCTGCCTCAACCGAGCATGGCATGAGCTACAGGGGATCGCTACGATGCTACCCAGGCAAAGAGAGGAAGACGAGGGAGTTTCTAGCTACCCCGACCACGGCGGCCTCAACTCCGGCGAGGACACGCCCATGGCGGCGGTGGCGGGAATGGACAATGCGTCCTTACCAAAGCTCAAACGGCTCAGCGGCGAGGTGGACGCGTGGAAGGGGACTACGATGGCGCTGGTATGGCGACGATTGCACGACGTGGGCGAGCTTTGTGCTGCCAATGGCGCCGGCGCGGCTGCGGAGCTGCGCTGTGCTTGCTGCGGTCGACAAAGGAGAAAGCAGAAAGCCGAATGAGAGCGCGGGAGGGAGCGGGCGAGTGCGGGGCATGTTGAGGCGCGCGGCAGCCCGACGTGGCCTGGCTCGGCAGGACGTCGGCGATGTGTGGCCTCCACGCGGCAGCCAAGCCCTGCCGCGGTCGGCCACTAAATCGCCCGATTCAGTTCGACAGTGCTCGCGATTACGGCCTGACAACGCGTTTTCGTGAAGCTCGATCTTCTAATCCGTGAAGTAATAGCTCATACAATCTACACAAGAGTTGTAGCTCTAAGTACCATCTGTAATTCATCTTAAACGATCAAAACCTAATTCGCAACGAATAACAAGTTACATCAAACCAAAGTCAGCTTCAACAAACTGTAAAAGCAACTTCGACTTAGAAAATTTTCTAAGTGCTCAAAACAGCGAAAAGCTGATTTTTGGAAGCGAATTTCAAGCATGTTAGGAGCTAAACTAGTCTATGACACAAACATAAAAGTTGTTCCCCACATCAAATACTACAACTTTGCTTTAGTGACCACCTTCATGCAAAGTCTATAGCACGAAGTTCAAACTTGGTCAAACATGTTACATTCAAAGGATGACTTGTACTTGAACTCTGACCTAATGACCTATTTACCCTTAACCATGAATATCAAAGTTGTTCATAATGGTGCTCTAGACATGTTTAAGCTAATTGCAAGGTCACACACTCATTTCATGCATTGGTCACACATAGGGCTATCCAATTCAACACACATAGCATCACTTAAGTACTGGATTAGACAAAATGATCTTCATGAACATTGTTCCACTAGTCATCATAAGTGTAGCTAATATGTTTTAGTGACTCACATCAACTACTTACACCTATTCACTCATGATCATAAGCATACACAAAGAAAACATGAAATAACAAGACATGTTTCGTATGTTTTATTCATATGTTTCAAATGTAAAAGAGTAAATATGAATACTTGATGCTTATGCTTATGCAATGCAAGTCAATTTATGTAAGGCTAACACCTAGGGTGTTACATTACCGAGCGGGCCTCCCCGTTCGGTCGTTTCCCAGTCGGCTCCGACCGCGTCGATCGGAGAAGAGCTATAAGTAGAGGTTCGGAGGCCTTCCGGTCGGAGAGGCGGGTCGAATCGGAAGTGTGCATCGCCCCTCCTTGGCCAGGCCTTCCGGTCGGAGAGGCGGGTCGGAGTCGGAAGCGAGCGTTGCTCCTCCTTGGCCAGGCCTTCCGGTCGGAGAGGCGGGTCGAGTTGGAAGCGAGCGTCGTCCCTCCTCGGCCAGGCCTTCCGACCTGCCGTTAGGTATCTGGGCCGATCCAGGAGTTGTGCGTTGCTTATAATGTCGCCTGCTGGGCCGAGGCTTTGCTGGGAAGCAGGCCCATTAGGGACCCCGGGTTTATGAACCCGACAATAAGAATGTGATAAATGCCACAAACTTACCTAGGGTGTAGCCGTTTGATCTCTTCTGGGTCAGTTGATTCTATTTTTCCCATTACAAGGCGGACATATCTACAATGACATTGCTTGTATCAGAATTGCAGTGTGACTTCAAGAAAGGCAATTGAAGGGTGTTTTTTTTTTTTAAAAAACAAAAGACTGTAGTAGCATTTCCTCAGAGAACCAAAAGAAAACTCTGCAGTTCAGATAGAGGAAAAAAACATTTTAAAACTTCCATTAATACTCATCTGATATCCTGACTGACCATACCACAAAGAAACCACATATGATCATATCCTAGTTGCAACAATTTACAGATACAAAGGATCAACTCACCGTATTTCAGATTCCCTCCGTTCACATGGGCTTATCTAGACATGGCAAGAAGGATTAAGGATGTCATACATCTGTACAGCGTATTGTACATTCTAAAAAAACATCCAGTGAGTTGGCATAAACCTCACTGCCATTTAGTATTCCAACTTTTCCAAGTCGAGCAACAAGCACAAAACGAGGAGCACCACCCTTGGCAGGATCAGCTATAGGATTATCAGAAAGCCTGACATCCTTCAAAAAATTAGAGATCAGTACGGTCATACCAATGTATTATAGATCAGCAACAAGATTCCAAACAACAAGGGTAGTTCACTGAAACCATCTCACCCTTAAACTTGGGAACAGATTAAGTGAATCCACTGAAGAAAAGTCATCTATGTCATTAGATCCTGGTGAAGTTAAAAAAAAATCAATATTAGCACAGTGTATTCAGTTTTTCTCCCATTTGAAAAGCAGGAAGCACTAGTGCAGTACTAAAGTTAAACAGAATCATGCTCAAATCTTGGGTTCTTTATATGGCAAAGACAACAAAATCTACTCCCCCCCAACACACACACACAGAGAAGGCATATACCTAACAAAAGAACTTGCAAATTTTCAAACAGCACAGCAGCTGCATCATCAAGAGGTCCATCTGGCAAAAGATTAGATGGATACTTGACATGCTTTAACCTGTTTTTGTTCAAATGTAGTTGTTCCAAACTGGAGAAACAAGGGAGAGAGATGATAAATATTCACAGTACCCAAATCAAATGCAGAAGTATCAATCAAATCAAGGGTGGAAACATTACTATTTCCATTTTTACCTTCTTAAGTAAGAAAGTTTCACAATTTCATCCCATGAATCAATGTGATTATCTTCTAAATTTAGGAGCCACAGTGTATTGAAAGCTTGTACAAATTTTCCATCTGGGGTCTAGATAAGAAAGCGAGATACAGTTAGATGTACAAAATATCATAATTTGTAATGTTGATGTACACCTTGCTGAAGCAAGAAAAACATGCGCTTGAAATGTTGGAAAGAATAATCCAAAAACACCTAGATGTGGTCTCTATTATCATCGGATGCACATGGAACTATGGAAGCTGTGGTATAAGAGGAAACACTAACCATGATCATATTGAACCTGTTTGACATCAGGTGGAGTTCACTGATACATGAAAAGGAAACTTTAATCTTTTCAATCTGTTATAAAGAAGTTAAAATGAGCTCACAGTGCGATTGGCAATGACTAACAACAAAAGCTTCAAAGTGACAGCAATTGGGTATACCAGTTCCCATGTTACACCACAGTTGTTGAGAACAAGAATTTGGATATTCTCGAGCATTGGAGTTTCTGCAACATCATTCTCCATGGTATTGTTTGTCAAATTAAGAACTTCCAGGGATGCCAGTGCTTGACAAAGAGGGGATATAACCTGAGAGGGAACCAAAATGTTTAGAGACACAGCAAACGAACAAACAGTTAAACACAGAAGGACAGGGGATATACTGCAAACATTTTGTAGTACCACCAACAATGTTTCTCTTGTTGCTTTGATGTTATCATGTTATATAAAGCCACACCAATTATAAGTAGAGCAATTGAAATAACAAGAATCGTTCTGTGGGAATTCTTACTTGCCACTGTGAGAATAGATTTCCAGTTAAGTCAAGAAGTCTGAGATCTGGAACATGCAAAACAGCTTTAATAAGTCCCTGAAGAAACAAATGGTAGCAGAACCATCAGCTCCAGTTGCTACACACATTATGGCTTATTTGCAATAAAAAAAAAGCAGTAAAATGGACAGGATGGTGATAATTTATAAGACAGTATTTACTTGGAACCAAACTCTTTAGTTCATCCGGTGCTCCGATTGAGCTCACTCCCATGTACGAAACGGATGCACTGGTCAACTCATTGAAGTTGTTGAGCTTCTCCTGAACTTTGTCTGTGCCAACAATTCAACCGAGACACGCTTCTGGCTTGTCGAGAAGACATACATCTCATCTGAACACAGTGCGGCAAAGCATGTAATCAGGGTCATTACATAGGAAATTCAACAAAGTGTCATAATGTTTGCCCAAATATTTGTACTCCTTTGCTGAAAGGAACTGAGCATTGCCGGATCAAAGGAAATGTGAAGGCGGCAAATTCAGGGAGCCGTCGGTCGGCACGCGCTGCACTAACCCTGTTCCTCCTTGGTGAAGTCCTAAACGCGGTAGCGTAGGCGGAGCGCGTCCGGGAGCGGGATCCCTCCGCTGAGCGCGGTGGGGCGCGCGAAGGAGGCCGAGCACTCTCCCGTGGCGACGAAGTATCGGCGGCCAGCGAGCGAGCCGTCGTGCCGGCCACCAGCGCCATCGTCCCAGTCGACGCCGACCCAGTCTCCGGCGTGGCCCTCTACGGGGCCCAGGTAGCGCACCGTGCCTACGCGGCGGGGGTCGCCGGCTGCGTCCACGCGCTGACCCAGGCGGAAGGCAGCGGCGGCGCTGGACATGACTGAACGCCTTGGCAGCAACTTAAAAACATATTACAATTATAATTTTTTATATAGAACTAACAAATATGCCGGTGCATTAAAAAAAAAAACAGTAACGTGCATGGTACATATCTATTTATATTTTTTTAATTTATTTTATGATGATCGTCACATTCATAATATAAGTTAATGTTGATAATAAATAACAATATTCTATTAAACCCGTCATCGAATTAAAATACACCTCAATATATTTTTTTTCCGTTGCAAAGCGCATAATTATTTAGATATAAATATATCATAATATTGTAGCTTTTTCATACTACTCATTTGTTTCTATGACTCAATATCGACCTTTGTAGTTTTTTTGACGCATCATATCAACTTCCATAACTTTTTTATCGATGTATCAGGATTAGTCTGTCCGCCAATGATTGTGACAGGTCTTGATTTTTCATGTGACAGCCTTGTCATGAATTACATAAATATATTTATTTAGATTTCATTAGTCAATAATCTACCCAAGATTCCGGTTCAAAAAATAATTAATTGTACCATTGACTAATCCATATTTTAATAAAAATAAGTTTTGTTTCTTATCAAAACTATATCGGATGGTGTAAATCTTTCTGCTCAAAACTTAACGCACAAACAAACATAATAAGCGTTGAAAAGAAGGGGTCATGCACTTGGGCTTGCCTTAGGTAGAAACCGAACAGCGGAACACGCGGACATCCTCCTCATACTCTTTGGCCACCTCCTCGTATTCCGGGTCTGCCTTTGGCACATTCTCGGTCATCGCTGAACCTATATGCATGCAATATATATAAGGATGATTTAATACACTTATAGATAAAGCACAATCTAACAAGATTCATAACATCTATGGATAGATCATATTTTTATGAAGCTAACAAAACTAGTTTGAAAGTTTTTCTGATTTTTCTATAATTTTTGGTGAATTTTGCAAAATCTCTGTTTTTTTATAAAAAAGAGAAATATAAAAGAAAATAAAAAAGACTTGCATGGGCTTGGTCCGACCTACAACAAAGCCAGCCTAACTGCAAGGATTTGACTCAAGTCGAAAAAAGAAGCCCACTTGAATTTGAACATTTTGTATAAGAATCTCGATCTATTTCAAAAACTATCGAGGCTCTCTCACCTTTTCTTTTTGGGACTATTACGTTCTTGCCCCTATTTTGAACCATAGTTGTAATTTTACCCTTATTTTCTTCCACTTTATGTTTTTACCCCTGCTTTTCCAAAACGAAGGTTCAGTTTACCCCTACTCCGTGAATAGCAGGTAACGGTGTTAAAAAGGTTGAAAGATGACAAGTTTGCCCTTCCGAATATTGCGTTTTTGCCCCTATTTCAAACCCCAATTGTGATTTTACCCCCACTTTCTTTCACTTTGTGTTTTTACCCCTACTTTTCCAAAACAAAGGCACTGTTTACCCCAATTCTTAACTCAGTTATCTACATCCGGATCAAAGCAATTAAAAATTAACAAAATCCCTATGAAAAGACAAACTTACCCCTTATCTCTCGGTCGTCTCTCTCAAGGTCGTCCCTCTCAACGCTAGCAGCGTGCAGGCGGTTGGGTGCGGCAATGTGGCGGTGGAAAGAAAAGCATCGGGCCGTTAGGCGGGCACGGAGAGCGGCACGCGCGGCCAAGCGAAGCGAAGCGGCGCTGACGCGCGCTCGACTTTGACGTGGTAGCGTTGCCAGAACAGACGGCTTGGCTTGGCCGGCGTCGCGAGCGCGCGTCTCGTGAAAGCAGCCGACCAAGCCCCGCTTTCAACTCTAGACCTACGTCTCGTGAAAGAGGCGGGTCTTCGGCTCCATGGTCAGCTGCTTTCACGAGACGCGCCCTCGTGATGCCGGCCAAGCCACGCGCGCCCGCGCCAAGCAGAGCTGCGTGCCTGGCTGCGCGCCCACGTCAGGCTAAGCCACGCGCGCCTACGCCGCTTCCTCCGCCTGGCCGCATGTGTCCGCTCGCTGCGCCCGCCCGATGGCCCGACGCTTCTTCCGCCACATCGCCGCACCCCGCCACCACGCCTACTAGCGTTGAGAGGAACGACCCTAAGAGAGACAACCGAGAGATAAGGGGTAAGTTTGTCTTTTCACAGGGCTTTTGTTAATTTTTAATTGCTTTGATCCGGATGTAGATAACTGAGTTAAGAATTGGGGTAAACGGAGCCTTCATTTTGGAAAAGTAGGGGTAAAAACACAAAGTGAAAGAAAGTGGGTAAAATCACAATTGGGGTTTGAAATAGGGACAAAAATGGAATATTCGGAAAGACAAACTTGTCATCTTTCAACTTTTTTAACACCGTTACCTGATGTTCACGGAGTAGGGCTAAACTGAACCTTCGTTTTAGAAAAGTAGAGGTAAAAACACAAAGTGAAAGAAAATGGGGGTAAAATCACAATTGAGATTCAAAATAGGGGCAAAAACGTAATAGCCCCTTTCTTTTTCTCTGTTATCTTTACATCTAGAACATGTATTTCTTTCTATTCTCTTTCCTGCTCCTGATCTCTCGTAATCTCGGTTTGCAACTGACCGACCGACGTAGAAACCGATACGGGTGGACAGGCCTGGACGGAAAAAAATTGATGGCAGAAATTATGGTATTTTTTACATCTAGAACCCTATATTTCTTTCTATTATTTACCTTACTCCTAATCCCTCCTAATCTCCGTTTGCAACCGACGATGGACGAAAAAAAAAATTGATGGCATAAATTTTATCTCTTTAGTATTAGGTATAGACATGTATAGATCATAATAATTTATTTTTGAAAATCATTAGTATTAGGTATAAACATGTATAAATCACAATAATTTATTTTTGAAAATCATCAAATTATATCTAATCCACACTAATGTCTTTCACCAAACTTTGAAGGTATATTATTACACGTTTATAATCATCAAGCGTCATGTTGTGTTTTTTGTTTGTGCTAAGCTCCTGTGATAAATCAATGGTGATGCTATGAATGAAGTAAAGACAACAGGTTATGTTATGTTCTCAACACATGAGAGGGAGACTTCAGGAGGGCTGACATACAGCTCTACAACCTCTAGTACTCGAGTGCCACGTAAATCTCCTGAAGGTCTAAGTGAGCCATAGGTATATTTTGGCGGACGCTCTACCCTACGGGAAAATCAGAAATAAAGCCGATTAAAATCGGGACAAGTATGAGGCTCCTGAATATGGAGAAAGAGTTTATGATGTGCCCTAGCTCCCGGATATGAAGAAAGAGTTTATGACATGCCCCATGTAGGGTCTATTAAGCCACATACTAACGTTAGTCGTTCGACCCATTTGTAACTCGAATGATAGTAATCGCTACTGCTGAGTTGCAACACGTCAACCTTCCACTTGGTGGGATCCATACTGGAACCACTCGAATAAAAAGGACTATCTGGTCCAACTCTTCAGTCGAAGTGTTAGCAGTCGAAAGATACCAGTCGAAGGTTATCGAGTGCAAGACAATTGAACTGTCTTATGGCTACACCTATCGATAAGACCCACCGACAGACTACCTCGAGTCGGTCATGCCATCACTGACCACATGGTCGTCCTCGACCACTCGAGTATGCCTTCGACAGACTATCTCGAGCCGGTCACGTGGTCATTGACCAATGCAAGGTCGTCGATCATTGACCACATGCACGCCATCGTCAAGCTCCCTCCATGATCACATAGTTTTTAACTACGACCCTATTCGCTTGAACTTATCAGACTGGCTTATCAGCCATGGTATAATATTTTTCTCGCATAACAAATCAGCGAACAATACTTTTTAGCCTAGCTTTTCAGCGAAGCGAACAGGGCCTACGTCTTCAACTATGGCCGCTCAAGCATGCCATCATTGAATTCCCTCGAGCTGATCACATGATCACTGGCAACGTCCTCGACCATGACTGCTTGGACATGTCATTATTAGGCTTCACCCAAATCATCACTGGTTGCGCTACACATGCTCAAGGTCAAAAGAAGACAACTTCAAGATCACCCTCTACCCGAATCTCCAAATCGCTTGGAGGCTAGACCCACCGGGTCCACTGTGTGGCCTTGGTCGATTTCGACAACAAGAGAGCATTGAAATGCAAAAGTGCTCACATTCAGACTTCTATCAAGACTAACCCTCCGCCCGATTCTCCGAAGTGCACAAAGGCTCGGGGGCTACTATCGGTGATATGTGGCCAGGGTACATCATCACATGTAAAACAGCCCAAAGGGAACAAGGCACACCAAGCAGGCTATATGAGAAGTTCAACCCAAACAGGCACCTCATCTACTTAGAAGACAAGGCATAACAATGTGTATTTAAAACCAACTCTATCTTGTAGATTTCTTTGTATAACAAACTAGAAAACCCACACGTAAACCGATCAGGACTCTATCTATAACAGCACCCTCTGGACTATATAATGAGGTGTGGGGAGCCCCTGGTCAGTATCTTCTCAGATCCAATATTTGCTCATAGCAACCCCAAGCAACTAGCCACTAGCAGCATGTAAAGTCGAGCCTACAATATAAGAGATCTACTCTCAGCCGGACATAGGGTACCTCATACATGAACCACTGTGTCCCGATTACTACTTTTTTTTATTCTTGTGCATGATATGCTGATCTTCGTTGCCGAAGCAGATAATTTCGACAAATATGTAATGTTCTTGTCATCATTTTTCATGAATAACTCCAAAAGATATGTAATGTTCTTGTCATCATTTTTATGAATATTTGATAGTTTTTATCCCAGTATCATGTACGAGTATGTTTGCTAGTAATTTATCTTCTACAACTAAAAAGAACAAAGCGTTGACACTTTTTGGTGCGACATTCGTCCATCGTCCTGCCTGTCTATTGCCCGTGTGATCTTTCTCCGCGCCCCCTACGCCGTCTCCCTTCCAAACAAAACGTCGCTTCGCCCGCTCCCGTGATTCTGGCCGCGCCGCCGCCACGCCCCCATCGCGCCCACCGCACGCCTGCGCGCCGCCATGCAGAA